ATCATTCATCCACTCTTCCTTGAGGTTTGACTTGATCATTTGGCAGCAGATGATGTAATTCGTAGGAATTTCAGGCTGAGGGAGGCTAGCTCCTTTCTTTGCCAGAGCATCAGCTCTTTCATTTCCCGGTATCCCAGTGTGGGCAGGAATCCATTGTAGGACTACTAATGTCGACTTAAATTATAACTTTGAGAATAGAGAGATTCATCATAATCATCGTTGTCGTCATCCTCATCATCACCATCATTAGCATCATCATCCTCACTGATTGCCTGGTGATATAAAGCATTTACATGATTGTTTCTTGTTCATGGCTCTTTTCGTTTCCCTTCCACTGTCTACGTGCAGATACACGCCAGGTATAACCAAAGTTGTAACATTGTGTCACCCTCATAATATTCATAATGTAGATTTGTGGTTCGATTTTGACTTCGACTTTGTGATGGACTGATATCTGGTCGAGTGTGCTTTTTGTTTTCGGGTTGTTTTTTTCTTTATTCTTTCCTGAGTCTTCCATTGCCTACTTTCTTATTAACAGAGAACTTTTCTATCGCAAACGTTCCCCTGGTTAAGGACCAACTTTATAATGATATCATAACAAAATAAATACATTTCAAATAAAAAATGTATAAAAACATGCAATAACGTTAAAATGTGTTTCCAAAACCATTCGGCAGGAATAAAAACGTCACTAAAAATCAATACTGTTTGCACGAAATGCGATTTGTTGAGAATCGTCTAAGAGCCAAAATCATAAGAGTGCGTCATAATATTTGCTTAACGTTCGTTGAAAAATCAAACTGACAAGCAAGCCCACTAACGTTGTCCCCTGAGGTCATTAAAGATGGATTAAATTTAATTGCTACTCATGTTAAGAAAGCTTGTTGACTTGCTGTTACACACTGCGAAATGTTTCGTCAGCATGGCTTTAGAGACCGTGCAGCTATAAATAATATTAGTTGAACGGTAGAGACTGTCTATCTATCTATCTATCTATCTATCTATCTATCTATCTATCTATCTATCTATCT